TGACTAAACCGCTTCTGGCACAACAGAGCACCGTGATGGAAGCCAGAGGGCACAGAAACGCCATTTACCTTCCCGCCGCAGTAATACATACTTATCTACTTGCACTGGTGTGCTTTCGGATTGCTAGGTTGGCAGAAGCTGGGACAGAGCAACGGGAGCTCACTCCGTCACAGGGATTCGAACCACCAACTTTCCGATTGGCAAGCCAAGGGGTTTAGCCCACAGAGCCACCCGCTCCCCCTCTGTGCCTTGACATTCCGTTGCTGCGCCCATAACCTAAGGTGCCATTTAGCTGCTAGCTTTCACATCTCAGTTTCTAACACTGCTCCCAACCATTTTCCATGTCGACTGAGCATTCCAGTCCTTGCTGGAAAGACTCTCGGGTTCCCCCCTCCCCAAATCGTATTTATTTATTCATTTTTATTTATATTCCTCGCTTCCTCCCTTGGCAGTCCCCCGCCCCCAGCCTGAAGAAATCTCCTCCTTGGGCATGGGTGTTGCCATTTTGGCTACATAATGATCCACACTCACCCCATAACTTCAGAAATGGAGGGAATAATTGCACAAGGAGCAGCCACGCTCTGCGCAGCCTGCATGCCGTATGAATGGGTTTTTTCCCTATTAGTTTAAGCCATTGAGAAGGCTAGTCAAGCAGCCAGGGTTACCTGTTTGCCCTCATCAAAGAATGAAAGCACTTCAGGAAACAATTCTGCCTTTCAGGTTTACAAACCAGTTCTGCTCCTGCAACAATGCTTAAGGGTGGGACGGGGTAAGGAAAGGTGTCGAATGCACCCTTCAACATTGCTTATTTCAATGGTTTACAATTTTTTTTTTCTTTCATGAAACTGTCTTTGCATCAGTACATCTGGCGAGCAACCTCTCTGTCTAGCAGAGGATTCTGAAAGCCCAGTGGTGCAGTTCTGTGATGTTAGGCTATGCGTTTTATAGCCTTACGGGCTGCAGGTCTTGTTTCAATGGTAATTCATATTGCTAACTACTTGAAGCCAGTTTACTTAAAAGGATCAACTTACCTCATATATGCCTAATTGACCACTTCACTTTGCAGAACTGGCACTTTTACAAGTGCCACAAAATGTTTATTCTGCAGTTCCATGACACTGGTCCATCAGTGTGGCAGCTCCTTTGATATTAAGCAAGTTCCTTTGCTGTACTATTTTCAGCACCTGCAAAAGACCTTTTTTCTTTAGGCAAGTCTCCCCAGATACGTAAAGTTGACGTGTATTTTAAAATCTTGTTTTATTAACTGCTGGTTTTATTTTGGTTTTGTGTTTTGTTTTGGTCCAGCTTGTTTTAACTTTGGGCTTTTATCAATAATTTCATGTAATCCACTTAGAGGTTTTTACAATTAAGCGATCTACAAATTCCATTAAATAAATAAAATGAATATGGCAAGGCTGCATTGTAGGGTGTGTGTGGGTGTGGGTGTGTGTGTGTGTGTGCGCGCGCGCGCGCCCTATTGCTAAGTGGAACCCTGAAGTTAAGTCCTGGCCTGATTGTGCCATGGGGAAAGTTTGCTAGAAAATACATTGATTTCACACAAGACAATGCATCACATAAACAGAGTGTGTGACCTTTTAAAACACACACAACCATGCTAATCCTGGGCACTTGTGGCCCTCTACAAGCTGTGAGAGACTCCAATTCCCATCAGTCCTTGCCAGAACAGCTGTTGGCCTTGAGTGGTGAGGCCACAGGTTCTCCCTTCCTGTTGTATGAGCAGGAAGTCTAGTTCTGGTGGAGAAAGCAGCCTGTTTCAGAGCTCTTATGCCATCTTTGCACCAAGGGATCTCTGATCAGCTTCCAGAACCACCCACCCCAAGCATTCCCTGGAGCACAGCTTAAAAACTACAAAGGGATCAGACAAAAAGTTGATTTGCATTCCAAGGGCGCATATTTTAAATGTGAACACCACCAACTGACATCCTTTTATCAAGCAGACCAGGCGAGATGCAAAATGTGTTTGTTATCTGTCAAAGGGTTTCATTGCTTTGTCTTGGATTTCTGGGTCACCTGGGAGCTTGGGCTAGGCAGCAGCGCAGGGAAATATTTCAAATAGACAAATAAATGGCAATGCCATATGGAAGGAAGGCCTCTCAAACCAACATAGTTTACTAGAGTACGTCTGGAAGGAAAAGATGCTTCAGATGGGGAAACCAGGTGATAAGGAAGATCTACAGACGCTGCCCTAGGGACGCTGGTGGCGCTGTGGGTTAAACCACAGAGCCTAGGACTTGTCGATCAGAAGGTCGGTGGTTCGAATCCCCGCGATGGGGTGAGCTCCCATTTCTCGGTCCCTGCTCCTGCCAACCTAGCAGTTCGAAAGCACGCCAGTGGAAGTAGATAAATAGGTACCGCTCCAGCGGGAAGGTAAATGGCGTTTCCGTGTGCTGCTCTGGTTTGCCAGAAGCAGCTTAGTCATGCCGGCCACATGACCCGGAAGCTGTACGCTAGCTCCCTCGGCCAATAAAGCGAGATGAGCGCTGCAACCCCAGAGTCGGCCACGATTGGACCTAATGGTCAGGGGTCCCTTTACCTTTACAGACGCTGCCCTAGGTGTATACTCTGCTTCAGGGCTGTCTTAAGCATATGCAGCATCGGAGTGCAAAGATCCCCCCCCGGTGCCCCCCCCCAGATTGCCCAGTCCCAGGCGCGCAGGAGGGGAGAGCCGGCCAGCTGCCTCAGTGTCTCTCTGGCTTGGTTGCCCCTGAACTTGCGGCGCAGAGCTACCCGCAGCAGAAGAGCCCACCGTGGTGATCTGACCGACTGACGGGCTCTTCCCTGGACTCAACTCTCGGGCCCTGGACTCTTGGCCTGGCGCCCCTGACAACCCGGTGCCCAGCACCCCTAGCACCTATGGGTAAGACGGCCCTGCTCTGCATACACCCTGAAGCTGAAGTATGGAGGGTGGACACAAGAGAGGGGGCATTTCTGGCACTGTCCTGTTACCCCTGCAATTGTAGAATATTCACCCCAAAGAGGCCTGCATAGCACTTGCGTAAATGTATTTTCCAGCATCAGACAAACGCCTCTTCCTTATCTCAAACTTTTTACATTTTTAAAGAACATGCTGGCTGGGACTGATAGGAATTGCAGCTCAAAAACCTGGAGGACATCAGATTGGAGAAGGCTGGGCGATATGATAGTGCCAATTAGGTGTTTTGAACTCTTTGCAATTTGGGCATTGGGTTTTTAAAATGTTTTTAATAGATGTTTTTTATTGCACAGAGACTCCTGGCTATGGGGCAACTCAGGAATACAATGAAGAATTTTTTTAATTTCTTTTTTTGCAGCTGAACAAGGCAAGACGCCTTGAATCCCCTTTAGAAAATGCACATGCTTGTCAGAAAGGGTCCCCCATTCCTAGCAATCAGGAGGTCATTTCTAAACAATGCCCATCCTAGAGGAACTACAGCAGGGATGGGGCCCCCTTTGCCCACCCCAGATGTTCTTAAGATTCAAATTCCCACTTGACTGTGACGCTCCCTGGGTGACCTTGGGCCAGGCGCCAACTCTCAGTCTAACCTAACTCGCAGGGTTGTTGTTGTTGAGGATAAGATGGAGAAGGGGAGAACAACTACACCACCTAAAGCCCCTTGAAGGAAAGACTGGATATTTAAAACGGCCTCGGTCCAGTATACCTGAAGGAGCGTCTCCAGCCCCATCGTTCTGCCCGGACGCTGAGGTCCAGCACCGAGGGCCTTCTGGCGGTTCCCTCACTGCGAGAGGCCAAGTTACAGGGAACCAGGCAGAGGGCCTTCTCGGTAGTGGCGCCCGCCCTGTGGAACGCCCTCCCATCAGATGTCAAAGCGATAAACAACTACCTGACATTCAGAAGACATCTGAAGGCAGCCCTGTTCAGGGAAGTTTTTAATATGTGAAATTTTGTGTATTTTTCATCTTTGTTGGAAGCCGCCCAGAGTGGCTGGAGAAACCCAGCCAGATGGGCGGGGTAGAAATAATAAATTATTATTATTATTTTTTAAAATGTAAGAAAAATAAAGCACATATTGTCTACTCTGACTGGCAGCTGCTCTCCACGGTTTCAGGCAGGGAGTATGTCCCAGCCCTACCAGAAGCTGCCTGGGATTGAACCCGGGACCTTTAGAAGCTCTCAAGGCCTTCCTCTCCCGGAGGGCCACAAGTTCTGCTGCCCTGGGTTACATGAAAGAAGACTGGAGCGGGTTAATGCTTTTCTTTTGTTTGTTTCCTTATGTATTTTGCGTTCACGTTTTGTATTTTCACGCTGTGCACCACCCTGTGATCTTCGGAGCAAGGGCGGTCTACAAATGTAATAAATATTAACAGTTCAGAGCAGCGCCTCCAATGCCCTTCCCACGAGTCATGAGCCGCAGTGGATCGGAAAAGGGCGCCTGGGGCGGGACCGCGAGAGGGAAGGCTGGAAAAGCGGAACGCACCAAGCGCGCGATCTGCTGCGTCAGGCGAGAGAGCCCGGTTTGCCCAGCGCTGAAACGGCGGCTTTGCTGTATTTTAAAGGCTGAATGTCCCCCGCGGTTCCCTTCTCGCCAACCTGGTGCAAAAGGGGGGGGGGAAGCGCCCACCACCACCCTTTTTTAAAAAAGAGATACGCTGAAACGTCGCCGGCGAAGGAGGAAAGAAACGGAAGGAAAGCGCCGATTTCTCCATTACGCACAGCAAACACACGCCTAGGTGCGCGCTCCGTGGCTCTCACTGCAGCACCGCGGCGCGAGCTGAGCATCGCCACCGACATCCGCTTGAGAGATGCTTTCAAGCCGCCCCCCAAAAGAGGCAGAAGATCCCCGCCTATCTAGACCCTGAAGCGGTTATTTCTGCTTCAAGCGATCGCGGAGATCCGACGGGGACGATCGCCAATGCGCTCCGCGCGGCGCCTGCCGTTATCTTCCTAGCCCAAGGTGGTGGTGGGGGAGAGAGATCTGGAAGGGGTACAGAGGAGTATAGCTTGGGAAGAAAGGAGGTGCCGGGGGGTTCCCCCGCCTTACCGATTGCTGAGCCACCCTGAACGAAGCATCCAGCAGCATCAGCCGCCAAGGCTCCGAGACGGTGCTGGGCAACGGCAAGTAGACATAATAGGCAGTCAGAGCCAGCAGCCCAGCCAAGAGCACCGCGGCGGACTTCATGGTGACCGGCGGCGGGGATGCTCGAGCGCGCAGCCTCGCCTCTCCGGCTCCTTTCGCGAAGGGGTGACTTTTTTGCGGCAAAGTTTGCTCGCAGCGCCCATTCAAGGGTTTCATAACCTTCACAAGCCAATCAGAGGGGAGAGCCAGCAGAGGAAGTCCAGGCTCTTCCGTCCCCTGCGAGCCCTCGTGTCCTTGCGATTGTTTTCATTTGGGGCGCTGCTGGCGCCGAGCCGCGCGCAGAGACACCTAGGGGCCGAGCGCAAGCGGTGCAAGGAAAGGAGAGGAAAACCATCCTTTATTCTGACTCGCCCAAGTCAAAAAGCAGAGACATCACCTTGCCAACAAAGGTCCTGATAGTTAAAGCTATGGTTTTCCCAGTAGTGATGTATGGAAGTGAGAGCTGGACCATAAAGAAGGCTGATCGCCAAATAATTGATGCTTTTGAATTATGGTGCTGGAGGAGACTCTTGAGAGTCCCATGGACTGCAAGAAGATCAAACCTATCCATTCTGAAGGAAATCTGCCCTGAGTGCTCACTGGAAGGACAGATCCTGAAGCTGAGGCTCCAATGCTTTGGCCACCTCATGAGAAGAGAAGACTCCCTGGAAAAGACCCTGATGTTAGGAAAGATGGAGGGCACAAGGAGAAGGGGACGACAGAGGACGAGATGGTTGCACGGTGTTCTCGAAGCTACTACCATGAGTTTGACCAAACTGAAGGGAGGCAGTGGAAGACAGGAGTGCCTGGCATGCTCTGGTCCATGGGGTCACAAAGAGTCGGACATGACTAAACGACTAAACAACAACATTCTGACTCGCCCAGAATTAAGGTCCCAGGGAAACTGCGAAGGCTGTGCTCGCACAAAGGACATAGCAAGAAGAAGAACCTTGCTGGATCAGGGCCCATTCATTACCCTTCCAGTCCGGCATCCTGTTCTCCTGTGGGAAGCCTGCACCCTGGATGATGCCTCTGACAGGAATGGAAGCATTGTGGCTTTTGGCCATTGATCGCCTTGCCCACCATGAATTTGTCTAATCCTGTCTTAAAGTCAGTGCTTTTTTTTCTGGGGGTACACAGTAGCAGCACCATTTTTCCCCTAGAAGAAAAGCACTGCTTTAAGCCATCCAAGTTGGTGAACAGCACGGCCTCCTAGGGAGGGAACAGGGGTGCCAACTCAATAAAATATTCAATAAAATGACATGACACGACACGCACACCTCAAGTATTTTACTGGAGGGCTGAATGGACCTCGGCCCCTAGGAATTGGGTCCTATGGGGTGGGAGTTCCATGGTTCCCACAATGCAGTTCTTAATAATAATAATACTAATTTTTATTTCTATCCCGCCCTCCCTGGCCAGAACCGGGTTGAGGCCAGCTAACATCAATAAGATTTCAGTAAAAACGTAATAAGGGGGGGGACCAGTTTAAAATAAAGGTTAAAATGCAATTTGAAATGCAGCCTCATTTTAAAAGTCAAAACCATAAGGGGAGGGAAACATAAGGGTCAGACTGAGTCCAGACCAAAGGCCAGGCGGAACAGCTCTGTCTTGCAGGCCCTGCGGAAAGATGTCAAGTCCCGCAGGGCCTTAGTCTCTTGTGACAGAGCTTGAATAAATGCTTACTCTTGACTGTCCTGAATCTTCTGGCATTTGGCTTCATTTGGGTCAGTGTTATGAGAGGGGTCGGGGGAGCTTTTTTCCTCTTTCTTCATGCCATGCCCAATTTTATAAACTTTTATCGTGCTGCCGCTTACTTGCCTTTTCTTAAAACTTGAAAGCTCCCAGTGTGGGAACTGAGTTACTCCATCCATTTGGTCATTTTGATTGGCATTCACTGCATTGTTGGGGGTTTTAATTGCATATTCACCTTCCATCCAAAATGCAAATGTATCCTATGCTCAGTTGTGAAATGCTGTCATTTGATGTGCTCTTTCTCAAAGAAACGTCACACCCTGGGAAGCCCTTCCTAGCTTGGCTCCAAGCAAAGTGTGAACACCTTTGCATGGGGTAAAAAATATCCCCAAACCCTGGTATGTACATGAACAGAAATGACTCTGGTGCTAATTAAGCCATGTTCATGTGAACAGCTGGCGAAAACACTCTGAAACACAATGGAAATGACGGAGAATTCAGAAGTTTCTACAAATACCCAGCTATCCATCCCCCAAACATGTCCACAGTTCAAGGAACATTTCAGTCAGGCAAAAGCCCTGCATTTGGCTTCTGGGCCAGAGGCCACCTTTAACTTCTCAGAACTGCTTTCAGTACTGGGCCTGAGGTCACCCAGAATTCCCCAGCACTCCAGTTACCAATAACTCTTCAGAACTGTGTAGCAAAGTGACAAAGTATTGGGCAAGCTTCTGGCCTCTGGAGCTCTTCATCAGGCTTGATTGGTGGTTCCCAAAGTGGGTGATAGGGCCCTTGGGGGTGGGAATTACCTGGGGGTGCTAAGAGGCAAGGAGGCCACAAGAGGTCCAGAAGGTGTCAACATGAGAACGGAGGCTCCCCGTTTGTGGAATGCCCTCCCCAGGAAAGTTCATCTGGCACCTTTATTATGCACCTTTAGGTGCCAGGCAATAATAATAATAATGATTATGATAATAATAATAATAATTTATACCCCGCCCATCTGGCTGAGTTTCCCCAGCCACTCTGGGCGGCTACCAATCGAGTGTTAAAAACAATACAGCATTAAATATTAAAAACTTCCCTAAACAGGGCTGCCTTCAGATGTCTTTTAAAGAAAGGATAGCTGCTTATTTCCTTCACATCTGAAGGGAGGGCGTTCCACAGGGCGGGCGCCACTACCGAGAAGGCCCTCTGTCTGGTTCCCTGTAACCTCACTTCTCGCAATGAGGGAACCGCCAGAAGGCCCTTGGCGCTGGATCTCAGTGTCCGGGCTGAATGATGGGGGTGGAGACACTCCTTCAGGTTTACAGGACCGAAGCCGTTTAGGGCTTTAAAGGTCAGCACCAACCCTTTGAATTGTGTTTGGAAACGATCTGGGAGCCAATGCAGATCTCTCAGGACTGATGTTATGTGGTCCCGGCAGGCACTCCCAGTCACCAGTCTAGCTGCCACATTCTGGATTAATTGCAGTTTCTGGGTCTCCTTCAAAGGTAGCCCCACATAGAGCACATTGCAGTTGAAAACCTTTCTCTTCAACCAGGCTTTTTCCTGATTAATATTATATTGGCTTTTGGTGCCAATATGGTGTAGTGGTTAAGAGCGGTAGTCTCGTTATCTGGGGAACCGGGTTCGCGTCTCCGCTCCTCCACATGCAGCTGCTGGGTGACCTTGGGCCAGTCACACTTCTTTGAAGTCTCTCAGCCCCACTCACCTCACAGAGTGTTTGTTGTGGGGGAGGAAGGGAAAGGAGAATGTTAGCCGCTTTGAGACTCCTTAAAGGGAGTGAAAGGTGGGATATCAAATCCAAACTCTTCTTCTTCTTCTTCTTCTTCTTCTTCTTAAATGTGTCAGGGGTATTTTATTGTTTTAACTATTATTTTGTGCTTCTTTCCTGTATTCTTATCTTGTGAACCCCCCAAAAGTTTTCAGATGAAGGGTGGTATATTAAATAATAATAATAATAATAATAATAATAATAATAATAATAATAATAATGTTTTTTTGCAGAGGGTGGGGGTTTACATGTCCTCTTTTGCTTACTTCAATATGTGACCAGGAAGCCCAGCTGAATTTGGGTCCTTGGGTGTCTGCCCCAAAGCCCTTCCCAATGGCACCACCGTCTCAGAACATTCCTCTTGGTAAGTCAGAGTGTTTAAGTATTTGGCAGTGACCGTAAAGCTTTCCTGGATGACACTTGAATTGCACAGATCTTGCAATATGTGGGAATTCTCTGGATTATTTCTACATTCCCTGTTCCTTTGCTTTATAATTCTGCAGCTCTTTCGGAATCTCGGAGAAAAGTCTGTTTCCATCTGACAGAGCAAGCCTAGCAGAAATCAAGCAAAGTGTACAGCGAACAAAGTCAACTTCCAGAACTCAAGCACTGAAGGTTGTGCAGTTGGGGGAATTATGATCAAATGCTTGAAGGCCAAATAAAGATTAAAATCTGATGGCCACACTCTACTCGTGATGCGCTAGTACAAAATGTTTTTCATTTCAAATTTATTTATTTATTGCCCTGCTCAGTGGAATCATGGGGCTGTTCAGTCTGAAAACAGAACATAGACGTTCATTTATTTTTATTTACTTTAGTAAAATTTATACAGTGTCCTGAACCCCTGGCCTACCTGGCAGCAAGTCAGTATGCCAAGATCAAAGTGTGTGTGTGGGTGGGGGGCGATCCACACAAGCAAAGTTCAAAGTCCAGGAAACGAGGTTCAGGGCCAATCCAAGTAGCCAAGCCTGAAGTACAGGAGTCAGGATACAGAGTCGAACCCAAAGCACAGTCCCATGAAGGTCAAGGAATATCCAAGTTGAGGTCCATCAACAAGGGCAGTTGAGCAGACACAGCACCTTGGCTCTGCTTGGCTTTTGTACCAGCATGCACCTGGGCTCTGTAATAAACAAAATCTGCCCTTATTCTCTTATGGGGGACACATGGTACCTCGGGTTAAGAACTTAATTCGTTCTGGAGGTCCGTTCTTAACCTGAAACTGTTCTTAACCTGAAGACCACTTTAGCTAATGGGGCCTCCTGCTGCTGCCACACCGCCGATTTCTGTTCTCATCCTGAAGCAAAGTTCTTAACCCGAGGTACTATTTCTGGGTTAGCGGAGTCTGTAACTTGAAGCATATGTAACCTGAAGCGTATGTAACCCGAGGTACCACTGTACTGTCTTATATATTTTATAGTACAGCACATTGATTATTGTTTTCATTTTATGGACCAATGGTCTCATTAGATAGTAAAATTCATGTTAAATTGCTTTTAGGGGTTGTTTTCAAACGGATTAATCCGTTTTGCATTACTTTCCATGGGAAAGTGTGCCTTGGTTTTGGATTAAGTTTGAGAACCAAGGTACCACTGTACTGCCCTTGGTCTCAAATTGCTTTCATTGTTGTAGGGCTTATTTTCTCAGGGAGACACCTAGGGGTGGCTGAGAGCCAGTGCAGAGAGCTGCACTCTCATCTGAACCTCCAGTTTCTGTGTTGCCTGAAGCAACTGCTTAATTCATTTCTCTTTGGGATTTCATCCCTAATTTGCTTGACCGTGGCTGCATGCCCACAACATTTTATTA